CACACACGGTAGTATCAGGACAGTTAGATGATCTCAGGTAACTGGTGTCCACCTGCCAGCGTTACCTGGCTAAAGGTCAAACTGAGAATAAAACTTGTGTTATTGTTCATCTGAAGTTGAAGTACTAACGACTGAAAATGAAGCTGCGGATAAATGAAGGTGATCGGTGAGCACCATGAAGCAGCTGGAAGCAGAGGATGAAGGATGAGCTCTTAATATGAAGCTGACAACAAGCGATCAAAGCTGAGGGAACACATGAGATGAGCTGGACGAAGATCTTTGAACAGATGTTCCTGATGAGGCGCGTGGGCTGAGGGTAGTAATCTGAGAGAAGAAGCTGCAGGAAGCTGTGACGGGCAGTTTCAGGGTGGAAGTCTGACTTTGTGACTGCGTCCTGCACGTGAATCCTGACCTGTTTCACAGGGCGTGGACTGGGCTCTGCGTGCTCAGGACTTCCTGTTTCTCTTTCATTTTTATTCGCTGTGGTTCTCTGAGCGTTAAACTCTGACACCATGAAGCCTGCAGAGCTGCTGCAGGAGCGCTGACAGGCCTCAGAGGCCAGTCTCAGCTGCTGACACTGCCCTCTGCTGGTGAATCCGCTGCAGTGCAGGAGAGGCTGGAACAGATTTCTTCTTTCTTTGTTTCGTCTCCTCGTCCTTCATTCGTTCATCTTCATCAGTCATCTTCATCAGTCATCTTCTGCCTCGTGCACATTAACTTCCACCCATCGAGTAAACACAGCAGGGCCTCATAATGCCACAAAGCCCAGAGTGTGTGTGTGAGTGACATTTGCTTCCTCGCACACACACGTGCTGCACAGCAACCACCATTCCTCCTCCTCCTCCTCCTCCTCCTCCTCTGTGCTCCTTTTCCTGAATAAATGTTTGATTTCCTCCCACGCGTTCATCGACCTCGCGTCTTCGACGTCAGCGTGTGGAAAGTTTTTCTTGGATTGAGTCGATTTTTTGTGTAATAATCAAACGCAAACATTTCATTTTATTCAACTTTATTTTCTCACTTTTATTTAAAGATGAAGAATGAATACTGATGAAGATGATGAAGCATACCTGTAGAGTCATTTCTGGGCCTTGGTTCGCCGACGTGTCCGACGGCGTTTGATTCTTCTGCTGATAACAGAGTTTATGGTGTCAGCTGTCAGTGATGTCACCGCCGGTGAGGGACGTCCTGTTTTGAAGCCGTCCCCAGCTTAGTGTTAGGAAGCAGACGTGATGGTTGAGGGGCGGGTCCGACTGCGGTATCACACACTTATTGGCTAAAAAGTCTGGAAACCGCGGCGCGACCAGAACTGTCGTAACCGTGTAACAGCCGCTCAGCTGCCTCGCTTTTATTCTGAAATGTCACCTGCTGAGTCAGGTCAGCTGTTGCAGAGATCGACTCAGATCGACTGCAGCGGCATGGCGATTGTTCGCCTCCCACCAGGTGAAGGTCACCCGGAGGTCAAAGGCAGCGTTCGTTTCATTTATTAAAGCTTTGATCTGCCATCTTTGTTTCCTGAACACACGATGACAGAGACCGACGAAACGTAGCGACACGTGGACGCATTTTCCCTGATCTCAGACACTCGATGAAGAGTCTGACTGAACATCCTCTTCCTCTCTGTCTCTGTTCTCTCCCTCAGATAGCGGAGACGTACGCCTTCCTGCCCAGAGAGGCGGTGACTCGCTTCCTGATGAGCTGCGGCGAGTGTCAGAAGAGGATGCACATCAGCACCACCACGCAGGACTGCAAAGGTACAAACGGCGTCTCCCCTGGGTTTGAGCTGCAGAGGTGAAACACAGGAGCACGGGGGGACGAGGCTCGGGGAAAGTTCATGTTTGAGCCTCGTGCTGTGCACCACCAGATTTGTCCTCCTGTGCCGACAGCCTCTAAGAAATGAGGAAAATGTCTGGAGTTTGAAAAGCAGGCGCCTGTCCGTCACGCTGATGAGGAGCTGCTCACGGCGGCTCTGAAGCCTCTGCAGCCGCCCGACAAACACAATTAGACATAAAAACAAACACTCCGAGATTCTCGCTGCTACTCGCAGCGCTGCATGCCTGCAGGAAATCTTTCTTCTCACCACAAAGCCAATTTAATGCAAACACGAGGTGTAAAGAGCAAACGGAGCTGGAGCCGCTTCACGATGGAAATGCTCGTGTTAAAACATTTTTGCGCTGTGGGGAAAAATCGCGACAGCGTCTGACTCTTACTGCTTCGGTTCAGAGACGAGAAACGAAAGCGATGAGACGGCCGAGGCCGAGAAGTCCGCAGAGAGACGCGGACGTCCACATTCCTCACGTTCTGTGCCGCCTCCAGCCTCCAGCATCTGTTCTGTGAATAAACACAGCTTCACCTTCTCAGCAGACGCTGGTTAAAGTTTTAAGATGTTTGTTGCACTTACATCAGCCTCACACGGCTAAACTACAAAACACCAGAGTGCGCACGGGAACACAGAAACACCCGAGCGTGTCGAAGTAGTGCACAGATGAAGCGTCCATCAGCAGGAGCAGCTTTTCTGCTCTGAAGCTCACCTGTGCGCTCACAGACACACACAGCTTTAAAGCTCTGAATGCTTCTGCAGCAGGGAGCGTTACACTTCTCCTGATCATGTGCGTGCTGCAGAAGACTTCTGTCTTTCCTCCATCCATCCATCCGGCTTCGAGCTCTTCTATCCTCCCCCACTGCTGCTGGCTTCCTGTCCCATCCCACCATCCCTCCCTTCACCCTTCCTCCATCCCTTCCCCCATTTTTCCCCTTCTGCCGTCTTCCCTTCATTAAATCGAGGAGTCATTGGATTGTCCCGTCTCTCTCCTCAATTAGCCTAATTAATGGCTTTAACAAAGAAAATGGGCCTGGAAACGCTCATTTTCCACAGAGTCTGGGGAGGAGTGGGGTGGGGGTGTGAAGAGGAGTCCTGACAGGTTTGTGGATTAGAGGAGCAAACGGACGCCATCACAGCGACTTTCACCCATCGAGTTTCTGTGCAGCAACAACCTCCCAGTCACAGCGTCCAACTGATTCTCAGAGCAAGACCCGTGAATCCCAACACGCACGCACGCACGCACGTTTGTATTTATATCCTTGTGGGGACATCTCATTGACATAATGCTTTCCTAGCCGCTTACCCAAACCATCAAGAATGAACGCCTGACCCAGACCGGGTCCCCATGAGCGCTGTCTGTCCCCACAAAGATGGTAATACCTGTACACACACACACACGGAGTGTATCTGACGCTGGATGGCTCTCAGAGAGGGAAAACTGCTAATTGCCTTCCTGCCTAGCGGGGGTGAGGCTTCACCCCGACACACATTCACAGATTGACACTCTCTTAAACACACACAGACACACACACAGTGGTCCTGCTGCTGTCAGTGTCAATTAACTGTGTCCCGCTCTGCACTGATTAATTGCATTAAATAATTCACAGCTGAACTTTAGTGGGAGTCACTAAACACACAGCATAAAGGTGTGTGTGTGTGTGTGTGTGTGTGTGTGTGTGTGTGTGTGTGTGTGTGTGTGTGTGTGTGTGTGTGTGTGTTGTGTTGTGTGTTGTGTGTGTGTGTGTGTGTGTGTGTGTGTGTGTGTGTGTGTCACAGATTATGGATCGACAGTAAATCAGTATAATGCAAATATCTGAGCCGTTTTAAAAATGGCGGTCGCTGTACCCCCCCAATTGATTTGATCGCCGCTCATGCATCCAGATGTTAGACACGTCCTGAATGAGTGCGAGCACGGCTGGAGGAGGAACATTACAAACTGACTCTCTCACTTCTTCTTCGGCTGCTTTAATCGGGTTTCATTTCTCCCCTCGGGAGGACGAAGGGTCGTGTCTTTATCCCCGGACTCTCTGAGAGCAGCTTTGCATGACTCCCAGTCCAAAATAATCCTTCTTTTTCTCACGCTGAGCCTGATCATCTGACTGAAACAAGCTGCTCTAGCTCCTCCCCCTTTAACACAGCTTCCTTCTGATTTCTGTGACATCATCCAGACCCAAGCGTGTAAACAACACACTGAGCTCGCTGTTAGAAGCACAGGAACAGATATCAGAGCAGGACTCGTCTCTCGGTGATCCTGCGTGCGTCCTAATGGCTCCTCCTCTCCTCTACAGAGAACGACAGGCCGAGCCCTCAGGTGTCAGAGGTCATTGACTACAACGTGCCTCTCACCACCACCTACATGAAGCAGATGAAGCTGCAGAGCATCAGCAGCACTAAGGTACGTGACAGTGGTGTGTTTGCGTGCGTGAGAGGAGACGTTACAGAGGAAGTCCGGGAGGTCGAGCGCCCATCCCTCCGCAGGAACACTCCTCCCGTCTGCACGATCTCACGCCTCATCTCTTCTCCGGCCGTTCTGGTTTTTTCAGGTTACATCACATCCTGTGGCTCTGTCAGCTTCCTGTCTGTCTGCGTCACGCCGTCTGTTCTCTTATTTCCCCTCCACATGTCGACCTTTACACCTGCCTTTGAAGCTGCTGTAGAAACTGAGACTTTTTCACATGGTTAAACAAACCCCGCCTCTAACTGTAGGTGTGTTGCTGGGTGACCTGGAAGACGTTGAATGGTTAATGGTCACTTTGGTTTGAACGTGTTGGGAACGGAGTTCTGCAGCGGTCCAGACTAATTCCAGTCATTCACCTCCTGATCCTATTTCAGCGTAGAGTCGATAATTGGATTCGACTGAATGATGACGTCCACAGTCAGGAAACATAACAGGGCGGAGCTCCATCATCAGCTTCACCCTCAGCTGGTGGGGGCTGCGACTGCTTCATTCCACATTGTTCCAACACCTCTCAATACCACACACTCGCTGACAGTTATATAGCTCACGTGTGTGTGTGTGTGTGTGTGTGTGTGTGTGTGTGTGTGTGTGTGTGTGTGTGTGTGTGTGTGTGTGTGTGTGTGTGTGTGTGAGTGCGTGCGTGCGTATAATAAGGGCGACGTTAGTCAAGTTAATTAGCTGAGGAGACAGAAACACACATTCAAGTGCTGATTTACTTTGGTATGCCAGTACACACACACACATGCACACACACAGCACACGCACACACATGCACACACACACACACACAGCACACACACACACACACACATAGCACACTCCTGCTTCTCTCTGGTCTGCCGGTGATGTCCGAGCCGTTTCATTGGTTCGTGGCGTCTCATTATCAAGCTCGTGCAAACACGTTTGTTGCCTTGGTTACGCTCAGCATCGTTTCCAGCTGCATTTTTAAAAACCTTTCTGATGTTTTCCTTTTACAAACCTTTGACCTTTGACCTCTGCTGCACTCTGCCATGTGACGGCGGCCTCGTTGGTTTTGTGGGGAGTCGCTGTGAGTTTGACCCTCAGACGGCGGCTAATTATTGGTCCGTGCTTCAGAGGTTTGGGAGCAAAGTAAGAAATGTAAATGCTTCAGCGTGAACGTGAACAGGCGCGCATCGATCTGCAGCCGTGCATCGCCCTGTGATCAATAAAAACACGCCGCTTCTGTTTTGCGCTTCCGGCCGTTCGAGTTCGATGTGATCTGGGTCCGCGATCAAGATCAGATCCGATATCTGAAGCTGTTTGCCGATAATCAGCGTCTGTGCCTGCGTGTCGGTCATGGAGACGATTTTTTAAGGAGCTCTCAGGCTTCCACAGCGTGTGCAGCATTTCCTGTTGGCTTTGTGTGAGCAGATATAATCCAACTAAAAGCGCGCCCTCACAGGGCAGTGTGCAGCGTTTCACCGATGGAGGGGACCGCTGTGTGGATGCTGAACGTAGCTGTTGGCCGCAGCTCCTTTTGGACATATTTTCCAAAGCGATCACGTGACTGGGAAAAACTGGAGAATTTGCAGCGATTGCACTGAATTTTTGGGGGATTCAGAAAGCTGGAGGTGCAACACCATCAGTCTCAGAGCGACCTGTGACGGCACAGCCAGTCTCGATGCGGCTCGTAGCGCCTGGTTCCCAGCTGCTCGTGTTCCCGTGTCATTCTGCAGGTAACTCGCAGTCCTGCAGCTTCGCGTCTCCGGTCAGCTTTAAACCCATGATTGGGAGGAGTTAATGTGAACAACAGATTGCAGGTGATTGCCAGACTGTCTCCGTGGTAGCGCCAACTTATCGCTGAAGTCTCCATGACGACATCAGCTGACCGGTGCTCAAAGGCGGCGCGCTTCCTGCACGCAGAGCTGCACGCACGTTTCTCTTTGTGTCAGTGTAGACGTGAAGCCAACGACGCATCAGGTTTACCGAGAGATCAGGTGTCGCCCCCTGCTGGTGTAAAGCTGCACTAACCTCTGCACACATTCAAATCCACTTCCTGTTATTTTCATTTATATGCCAATAAAATAATATCAGCTGTTAAAGGTGTTATAATGCTTCTGACCGCAAACATCCACACAACCTCAGAGCGACAGCGACGCAGAAAGAGTTAAGTTTTAACAGACAGAGTGTGTGTGTGTGTGTGTGTGTGTGTGTGTGTGTGTGTGTGTGTGACACACTCTCACACACACACGACACACACACACACACACACACACCGACACAGCCACACACAGACACGCACACGCACACAGACACACCACACAC